ATATACATGGTTTTAAAAGATATTATACGAGAATATGGTATGCAAGAAATGGTTAGAAGTTTTACTTTTGATAATGCTAGTGTAAACAAAATTGTTGTCAAAAAAATTATTAATGATTTGAACCCTACATTTGGAGGTTTATTTTTTCATCAACGTTGTGTATGTCACATTATTAATTTGATTGTAAAAGATGGATTAGAACATAAAAAATTACCGTTAGATAAAATTAGGCAAGCAATTAATTTTATTACTATATCACCAGCAAGAAAGCAAGCATTTAACAGTTTATGTGCAGAGTATGGTTTAGAAGAGAAATCATTTGTCACTGGTGTATCACATAGATGGAACTCTACATATCTTATGTTACACTAGTGTGAAAATTATGATAAAGTTATTTCGATGTATTATAATGGTAAGCATACATATGGACCTGAACATAATTTGGAAGATTGGAAAAGGAAATCTTGCATTTGTCGTGAAAAAATTTTTAAAACTTTTTTTTCGATACCACAAAGGAATGTAGCGGTATTTATTACCCTACATCTTCATTTGTTTTACAACATTTTTCTATTTTGCACAAATATTTCAAAAATACAGGAGCTTGTCAATTTTTGTTGATGTAGTTTATTCTATGAAGTCAAAATTTCGTAAATATTGGGAAGAGATACCCTCTTTATTTTTATTAGTTTCGGTGATGGACCCTCAACTTAATTTAACTAGCACAAAAGCTACTATAAAAGGGATTTCAAATTTCATGAATGTACAATTATCATATGTGCATATAGAATCAATGTTATGTGAAATGTATAATCATTACGTTGAAAAAGAAAGTCAGTGTAGTTCTACTTCCCAAAGTTTTTTTTCAAGAAACGCTTCAACAAATGCAGATAATATATGGAATTATTTAGAGACCAATACTAGTGTTCAATCATTTAGTTCTACTTCATTAATATCTAGAGCAATAGATGTCAGTTGTACAAATATTGAAATTCCCTCCGAGTTTGCTAGGTATATGTGCTTGGACATTCGTAGTATGCTACAACGACAAGAATTACAGGAATTTAATCTTTTATCATGGTGGAGGTGTAACGAAAGGCAGTATTCAACTGTATCAAAAATTGCTCGCGATCTACTAACACCGCCGGTGTCTACAGTAGCATTGGAGGCTGCATTTAGTTTAGGTGGTCGAGTTTTATGTAACGAACGATCAAGACTAAAAAAAGATATATTGGAGGCATTAATATGTTTGAAGGATTTGGAATGTGCGGAATTACGTTTTCAAGAACAAGTTGATAGTATAATGGCCGAAGAGTTACAGCAAATTAAAGCATAAGATATTGTAAGTTTTTAAATTGTTTAGTTTTAAAACAATACGTAATTTTTAATTTTTTTTTAAGAAAAATTGTACACGAAATATTTTATTCGTATACAATTTTAACTCCGCCTGTGATAATTTTAGCCAGTTCCAAGCTCGGATAAAGGATGAGGTTTTAACTTTTATAATTTCTTTAATTTATAACAAGCATAAAATGTACAATTTTTTTTAAAAAATGTAGATTTA